GAGGTTGCAATTTAGATTGGTGTGAGAGGAAACAAAGTGATAAACTTGCATTAAATAAGTGACAAGTGTCACCATTTGGTTGGAGGGACTTGTAAGACCACTATTCATTTTCTTACCATTGACCAAATAAATCAAAAAAAAATAACCAAAACTTCACCATTTTCTCTTCATCTTGGCCGAGCTCCTTGAGCAACAAAAGAAAGAAAACTCTTCAAGTTTTTGGCTTCAATTTTGCTTCAAGCAACTCACTCAACCTTCCAATCTTGTTTGTGCTCCATAAAACCACTTAAGGGAGTGATAGTGAGGTATTGTGTGGAGTTATTTGGAAAGTTAAGAGAACTTATTGCTCTCTCTCTCTCTTGTTTCTAAGGTGAGTTGTGAAGAACTACTCTCCTCCCTTTATTGATGCTTAAATCATGCTTAGTGGTAGTATGAGATGCCATTTTATGGATTATATTTTAAGTTGTGGTTGAATTGATGAATTTTTATAATTTTTGGAGATTTTTCTGTTTTAATATGAACATAATTGTGTGGCTATCTATAATGATTGGAAATAGTATATGATGACTCTAGAAGGTGAAAAAAGTGGTTAATTGCAACCAATTTCTGGTTTGGAAGAAATTTTAGAAAGTTAGGGTTTTATTGGGAACATTCTGTCCGGTTTTATAGCTCCTAATTAGAGATCGAATTGGCCTTGACTTAAAACATGAAAGTTGTAGGGAATGATATTTTAGAGGTGCCTACAAAATTTCAGGTCAATCGGAATAGCGTAGAATGAGAAAAGTCGAAATTACCCTTGCTGTCCTGGTTTTACCCGAATGTAAAAATTGCGCCTGTAATTGGTTGTTTTGGCTGGAATTGCTTCAGAATTGGTTGTTGAGGTCTTCTGATGAAATGTAGCCCTATTTCTAAGCTTTCGGATGGCTTTAGAATTTCTGGATTTGGATTTAAGTAGGCTGAGTTATGCTGTTTGCAGCAGAATGCATTTTGTGAATCTGTTTTTCCGGTTCTGGTATAGTATCTTACATTTTTGACCTTGCTACGCTCAAAACTGGACAAAGTTGCCTTCTGGAACATTGTAGCCCTATCTCTTAGCTTCGAAACGGTGGATCTTGTACCTTCATCCGGTAATCATAGTGCCTTGGGTACAATTACCGTAAAATGAGGTCAAAAACTGTTTTTTTCAGGGCAAAGCTAAATCCATTTCCGGATTTTCTGGTTTCCTCTAATGCTTGTATATGTTTATGGAACCTTATTGGGGTCGTATTTGGCATTGGTTTATAACTCGTTATCGAGTCTCATTGTGCTTGTTTGCATGTTTTAGGGCGTGATGGTGGTTCACGACGTTCTTTTGACGGAAGTGCATGAAACACCATTTGCAAGCTTGGTGAGTGTACTACTCACTTGTGTGTTACTATATGGCTTTGATACTTGAAATTGATACGTTGAATGTTAATTGATTGAAGTGAGAGCGTACTTTATCACTCTCACTTATTGTTTATCATGTTCTTGAAATGTTATATGAAATGTTACATGAAATAAAAGTACATGGCTTGGTGTCGTTTGGACGAGTATCCAACGACTACAATTGTCATCTTTGAGCTCAACCCCATTGATAGTTGATTGAATCGAGCCGGCGAGGGTTTGGTCGTGCCAATTGATGTGCCTTGGGGAAGTGTTATATGAAATCTTGTAGTATGAGAGACTCTCGATTCCGGTTTACTCGAGTAATACCAAAGTGCAAGTGTTTGGAGTTCGGGCCCGGTAGGGAAATGTTAGGTGGAAGGAATGGAAGTCAAGTGGAGTCTACGGTTGGTTATTTTTGAACATTGACGGAGAGTCAATGACGTCCGATCAAGAAATGCAAATGAGGGAAAAGGGCTCTTGAGAGCCACCCGTATCCTTTTCTCACCGCCGTTAATGTGTGCCTTTATTTACTTTTGGCGAATTGAAATGAAAAACTGTATGAGTACATGAATTTGGTTGCTTAAGTGATAGTATCTCACTGGGCAATTAGCTCACACCGTTCCTTTTGTTTTCCTTACAGGCATATGACTACTTTTGGAATGATTCTTGCTAGTTGGTTGCCGGATGAGCTAAATGAATGTCTCTTTTGTATAGCTTATGAATCGAAACCCTAAATGTACCTTTAGGGCCGTTTCACTTTTGATTTTGGCAAACCATATATGTAGTAACTTTTGTATCACTTTTGTATGCCATTTTGGCTTGTAAATACTAAATGTTATGTTGTATATGTATTTTGATGTTTGACTGGGTTATGACGGGTCGGTTACTATTCATGGCCGATTTCGAATTTCATTTTTTTTTTTTGGGTTATTTTGGAATTTTGACTTGTTTACGCGCGTTATCAGTTCCGGAACGCAATAGATCGTTCTAAACTGCACCGTTAGTCCTGGCAAAAGTTGGGCAGGCAGTCCGCTAACCCCTTTGGTTCGCCTTAAGAGAAGGTGGGGCTGTCACAAGGGAACTCAAGTCATCGGTGAAATTTTTGTGATTGTGAAAAAATCTTTTCTTAAAAAATTATAGATGTTCAAGTCATCGGTGAAAATTTTCAAAAGCTTTACCCAGAACAAAGATACCGAGCAGCAGGGATCGTGGTGGAGCCCTAGCAGTCAATCCTGCTCCCCTTTTCATAAATAATGTGCTGAACCCAACTGTCAACAATGAAGATCTAACCACATATAGTAATGAGAGATTCTATGCGCATATTGCTACATCGCCATAGCTTTGATTTGGATCATAGCATGTTGAGCAAATAGGAGACAAAAGGAAAGGAAAGAATTGGAGAGATATGATCTTTTTTCTTTTATATGACTGACTTTTTATTGGTTGCAATTTTGAGAAGCAAGAAACAAGTTTGAATTAAAAGCAAATTGCGTGAAATGTCACTAAACTATTGCAATGTGCTACTTTTGGTCACTCAACTTTTTTATTAGCCAAAAACGTTATTGAACTAGTAAATCTATACAGTTTAGGTCACTCCGTGTACTTGTGCCATCATGAGAGACGGAAAGTAATTTTTTCTCGGGCAATTTTTTCTGCACAACCTTTTCGTTGAAACTTTCCAACATAAATTGCCCGTAAACGTACCAGACAACTCCCAAGTTCAGTTAGAAAGTACAAACCCTTATCCTCTAATAGATTTGTCTTCAAATATGGAGTAGGAGGGGCAATATTAACAGCTGCAATTGTTGGGAATGTGTTCAAGTTTCATGAGAGGAAGATGCAAGAAAATAACTCCGACTTGGTCTTGTGGCACTAAAACCAATTTGAAGACTTCATGAACTGATAGGAACTAGAGCTGCAACCGAACCGAGCCGCTCGCGAGCGAGTCAAGCTCGACTCGAGCTCGAGCTGGCTCGAGTCAAATCGAGCTTGAACTCGAGTTCAAGTATATATATATTTTATTTTTTTATTTTAAGTATATATTTTTTTATTTTTTTATTTTAAGTATTTTTATATTTTTTATTTTTTATTTTAATAGTAAAATTACATATATATCCTTAATATTTTATTATTTATTTAAGACAAAAAAAATTATTTTATTTATTTTTTAAAAAATAAAAATAATTATTTTTATTTTTTTCGAACTCGAGCTCGAGTTTGAAATTGTCGGCTCGTCGAGCTCGAGTTTAAGTTCGAGTTCACTTAGAGCTGTAAACGAATCGAAACGAACCGAGTATCTTATGTTTGAACTCTGTTCGTTAAGCGCTTCGAACTCCGTTCGTGTTCGTTCGTTAACTTTCGAACTCTAAACTTGTGTTCGTGTTTGGCTCGTTAAGTAAAGTTTGTGTTTGTGTTCGTGTTCGGCTCGTTTATGTTAAACGAGTCGTTCGCGAACACGCTCGAAAAATTCGAATCCAGATTATTCTAAGCCTTAAATATGCCATACAAATCATTAATCATCCTAAAAAATAATTGAAATACCAAATGACTAAATTTCATTATTCATTAAATGCATAACCAACATTAACATAAAAACAACAAATAAAACAAAGTAATTTATCCTTCAAATATAAAAATTCAGCCATAAGACAACAACAAATGTGCTCCACTTCACAATTTGACTACTACTACATCCACTTCATCTATCCATTTGAATCCATCAGCCATGGCAAAGAAAATGAAGTGACTGGACCAAATTCATTGTAGCTGAAAAGAGCTAGGTGGGCCAAGGCAATCGAATTTTTTTCCCCAAGACTCTGCAAAGAATAGAATAATAATCAACTACAAAAGTTTTCAATCAGTTTTAAAAATATCAATCAAAAGGAACTAGACATCATACACGCATATAGAGGAATTAAGAATGACAAACATTGAAAATTTCCACACAACCAACTGAAGACTGAAACTTTAGAAATTAAAATGAGTACAATGAGTTGCATCCTTTCAATCTGGAAGTATAACTTCTTCATATGCCTTGAAGTCATCAACAATTGATGATTCCTACCAAAGGAAAAAAATGAATCACAATTAAGTAAGAACAGTAAATTTATAAAAATTGCAGAAATAAAGAAACGTAACATATATTATATATTACCTTTAAATGACTTTTTGAAAGGCCATACAAATTTCGAACCCAATTATTAGCGCAAAGTAACATTTGCACTATTTCAATAGACATGGAAGCACGACGATCATCAATGACTCTCCCACCAGCACTAAAAGTAGACTCCGGAGCTACAGTAGTAACTGGAATAGCTAATATGTCAGCAGCCAATTTTGACAGCACCCGAAATCTCCATCTTTCCTGTCTCTACCAACTCAAGACATCCAGATTTGCACTCGTAGCACCACTGTATCTTTTTTTACTCAAATAAATATCTAATTCAGATTCTTCTGGTGGCATTTCTTCTTGGCTACTCACATGCATTTCAAACTTAGCTTTTCCAGTTAACATATTTTTTTCCAATTTCTTCTACCACCATAGAAGTTGAACTACAAGCATGACTAATTTCAACTTTTCTGCGTTTTGGCAACTACACATCCTCAGCAGAACATGGAGTGAATGAAGAAACATACTCATTATAAAAGTCATTCAAAACCTCTTTTATTTCAGCAATGTATATGGGAGCTGCTTCGCTACCATAAATAATTGGAAAGGCATAGTCAATGAGTACCATTTTATATTTTGGATCTAAAATTGCACCCAAAGAAAGCAGAATATTATTTTCACCCCAATATTTATCAAATTTCGAAGCCATGCTTGCAACCACAGCCCTTATATGGCTAGAAGGATTAATAGATTTTTCATTCAGAAGCTCTTTGATTCTATAAAGCTTACGTAGGAAAATGTTGGCAGTTGGATGTTCACTCCCAGAAATCATATTAGTTATTTCATGAAAAATACCCAAAAATTGACACACTTCTTCAACTCTCATCCAATCATATTCACTAGGAACATAATGAAAGCCATGATCAATGTCTGCATATCTCCAAAACACATCTTTAAATTTTACAGATGAAGCTAACATCAAATATGTCCCATTCCAACGTGTTGGACAATCTAGAATCAACTTTCTTAGAGATAAATGAAGCTGTTTCTTTATCTTGCTGAATTCAATGAGGCGGGACTCAGAATAATTTAGGTACTTAATCCCCTCCCTAACAGTATCAATCACTTCTCCAATTTGACTAAGGCCATCTTGCACTAAAAGATTAAGTATATGTGCATAGCAACGAACATGAAAGTATTTTCCCCCAACATTTAATTGTTTTCCCAACAAAAAGTCATCTTTCAGCCTCCTAACACACACATCATTGTATGAAGCATTATCCACGGTAATACTACAAATTTTGTTCTCTATGCCCCATTCATTGAAACACTTGTTAAGAGCATCAGCTATAATAACTCCAGTATGTGGGGGAGGAACATTACAAAAATTCAACACACGCTTTTGTAGCACCCAATTGAAATCAATAAAGTGCCCAGTTACAACCATATATTGAATTTTCTGATTTGATTTCCACAAATCTGTTGTGATACTGATTTTACTGACCCCCTTTAGCAATGACATCAGCTTCTTCTTTTCCAATTCATAAGTAGAAATGCAGTCTTTCTTCACAGTTTGCCTACTAATCCTTATATAATATGGAGAAACAGCTTTCATGAACTTATTAAAAATTTCATGATCCAACATTGCAAAAGGGTATTCATGTGCCAAAATCATATGGGATGCAAGTTCCCGTACCTTAGCATGATCATATCTAAAGTTTGTTATTGAAGTCATGCCATCCGATGGTGTTTCTGTTGTGAAGGAAAGAACTTGTTGTTGCATCCTTTTGTTCCCCTCGTCTACTAGTTTCTTTTGTAGACAATTCTTCAAATGCCTAGTGTAAGTTGTTGTTGTGCCACTAGCATTCATCTTCCATACCTCTTTGCAATGTTTACATGTCACTTTAGTTGATCCATCAGTTTGAGGTTCTCAATCCATGTCACTCCATACTTTAGACTTCAACGTTCTACTCTTTTTTTGATATGGTTTAGCCTCATTTGTTTCCTTGTTTTCAGCAAGTATTTCAATATCAACATCTTCATGCATCTCATCATCTTTCTCGTCACCACCAACAAGTATCACATCTTCATTGCTAGGATCCATAATAGGACTTGTGGAAGAGCCCAGATGTGAATTATAAGGGGAGCTTGACATACCCTATTTGATGAATGAAAAATAAAACTACTAATCAATGAAAAATTAACCAAACATAATCTGCAAAATTATGTACGAAGCAAAGACATAAAATTAATACATGCTGAAAGTACTATTGGTAGTTTGGAATTCTTTAAAAAATTATGTACTGATCCTATTTAGTATGTGGCCCAATTGAGTACTAAATATGAAACTTGTTGATGTTTTACTACTACTTAAAAACGAATTTCCATGTTTGTAGAAATCTGTCCACATCTCTCTCCAATATTTGACAAGTAGGAAGTCTAGAAGATTTAACAGAACAGTGTAAATTTTGAGCTTTGGTCAGCCTTGCAAGCCATGGTGCGTCATCTTTGCGAATCTCTTGTCCAGCAAAAGTCAAATTACCATCAACCAACCAGTGGTCCAAATTCAAATAATTGGATCCAGGAAAGATTTATCTCAAGAGACAAAGAGAAACTTGACCAAAATTACACTACTGCTACAGGTATTTAATTTTTTTTTGTTTCTGTCTTTTCCACCCTTGTTCATCATCATCATCATTTCCCATACCTTGAAAAATTCTGTCAAACAAAACCAGACATCTTAGACTTAGAATTATGTCCCCAACCTCTCAATCCATTGTTCACATCAAACTTAATCCATCCAGTGGTTTACTTGTCCTATAATTTTACTTTCTCTGCATCAAGTTTCCATTCTGAGATCTCTAGCTATTGATTTAGCAGCTTGAAGCTCAAAAGCACGGAAATGGAAGGAAAAAAAATGCTTTGCTGCTTGCTGCTACTGCCTTGATGTCTTAAATCATCATGCGCCAGTTTTGACTGATTAATGAATGTGTCTTGATGAAAGTAAAAAAAGGAAATGATATGCACAAGTATTATTCCAAGATTTCAAGTATTAGATGCCAAAAGATGAAACTACAACCGAAGACATCAAGTGAGGGACAATTTGGCTAGCGTTAGTGCTAAAACTTTGACCCCTTCAAGCTTGCAATCAAATTCGATCTAATGAATTTAAAAAATTCCAGATTGAGAAACACAAATCATAGATCTGTGAAAAATCATACCGAATCAAAGGAGGGAGGCACGCGATCTCCGAACTCAGCCAGCCACCAAAGATGTTGATTGGGGCAACTGAAACTCCAGTCTCTCTCTTATCAGTTTGGACTTTGGACGGTAGAAAGTCTAGAACAGCAGCGAGCTTATCAGTTTGGACTTTCAGCAGCGGCCAATGGGGAATGGAAACAGAAGTAAGGCTGGAAAGGGAAGGGGAAAGCTTTAGAATTTTTTATGAGTAACGCTAAAATTTGTCAAATGACAATTATGTCCTTGTTCGCGAACGTTTGTTAAAACGAGAACATGTTCGTGTTCGCTTGATTATTAAACGAACATAAAAATTCGTTCGTGTTCGGTTCGTTTAAGGCTTCGAACGAGCCTTTAACGAATACGAACGAGCCGAAACGAACCGAGCTAACGAACAACTCGGTTCGTTTAACAGCTCTAAGTTCACTAAAATTATGTTAAGGCTCGGTTCGATTAGACCAAAACTCGACTTGCCTTGGTTCGTTTGCAGCCTTAATAGGAACCTAGCAAGAAGATATGTTGAATGTGCTCATGGCGAGATGAGTGTGTGAAGATGTAGGAAATTCGTTAAATTAGGTTAATGTGTAAATTTTTGGATATTTATTAGCTAAAAAAAACTTGGATAATTTTTTTTTAAGTTGATAGTTGTGGTTTGGGATTGGTATGATGAAGAAATGTGTGAGCATTCCAAACAAGTCATACCCGGTCTTTTAAGGAGAGTAAATAGGCTGAAAACTAAGAATGAAGCCTTGCAGGAGCAAGTTCTCAAGTGGCAAAATAAAGCTGAGAAAAAGGAAGTTCAAGTAAAAAATCTGAAAGAAGAAACTTGGAAGAAAGAATAGGAAAAAAATGCTCATTGTTCTTTTTATTGTAACCTGGACAATTCTTAGTGCATCTATGTGGATTTAGAGGCCTAGCAAGGGATACAAGTTTCGAAGGGGAAAATTGATGGCTACTAGGGTATTATTATATTTCAAATCCTAAACCAATGCTATCAAATGGTTTAATAGATAGCTCGTTTTAGTTAAGGTGGTGCAGTTGTTATATAAACCTCATTTTGGTTGGTGTTGTTTACACCTTGGATTTTTGAAATTGTAGTTTATGAATAAAAGAGTGAAGTATTAATTTTAACATAAGTATTCAAAAGAAAAGTAGCTCACAAATGCATTTGCATAAAGTCAAATACAACAAAAGACCAGTGGACCTAGCAAAATGAGATCAAATATGCATACTTCCAAACAACTGCCTTACAAAAGAGTTATAATTGTCACTATCATCACCAAAAATGCCCTAATGAAAAATTCCAACAAAGGCTCTGTTTGGCAAGTGAGTTTTTTTGTGTTTGTCTAAAACTTTATTGTAACTAGGGGTGGCAATTTCTGACATGACCTGAAAACACGACACGAATTTAACACGAAATTAATGGGTTTGGGTTGAGATTTCAGGGGTTCGGATCAGAATCGGGTCGAATCCGAAAAGAAAACAGGTCAATTTTAGATCAACCCGTGGGTGACCCGATATGACCGGTTTACGAATTAAATATAATTTAATAAATATTAAAATTATTTTATCTAACTAAACTAAGTTATTCCTTTTTTCAAAGGCATTAATTATTTAATCCTAAATGAATTTATTTAACTTGTGTGAAGTTGAAATTATTATATTTGGGCAAATAATATATTATATTATTTTTTTACTTTTATACTGATTTAATTGAATTTATATTTGGGTTTGGGATAAAACACTTTTACGGTGTTTAATTTATTTTAGATTTGGTTTGAGATTATTTATTTAAATTTTTATTACTTGATTATGTAATTAGTTTTGTGAGAAATTGATTTTATTAGAAATTATAGTGATAAATTAATAAATTAAAATTAAGTTTCGGGTCATTTTGGGTCGACTTGCCGACCCACCAACCCGAAATTTTCGAGTTCGTGTCAGGTATCCTGACCCGTTTCGAGTTGACGGGTTAGGTTCGGGTCAACGGGTTTTCTGTTATACATGGGTCTCAACCCGACCCGCCAACCAGAATTCGACCTGATTGCCATCCCTAACTGTAACTTACTGTAGAAATTTTTTTAAAAAAATTTGAAATGTATAAATTTTTGAATATTTTTAAGTGTATAGTTTAAAGTTTTTAAAAATTTTTTTGAGATTACTGTAGTTAAAATTTTTAAAAAACTTGTAGCAGACAAACTTGGCAAAAAACTCTAATGCCAAATAAGGCCTTTAGCCTTGTTTCACATGTAAATAGTCTATAATTGTCCTTGACATAGAATACATCAAAATAAAAGTTATCCAAACAAAAGATTTAATACATCCAAACAGCCCTAAAAAATATTCATAAGTCATTTAATCTGATCTTCCACTTTTACTGCTCCTTGATATTCCAGCCCATCTACCAATCTTGAAAGAGAATTCTTTGCCCAAGTACTCATAGTTGGTATTGATTCTTATCTTGTCTATTTCAGATAACTTCCTCTTTGATTGGAGAGACTATTTGTGGGCTCCTACAGTTGACTAGTCGACATCATTGACAAGTCTAACTCTCCTCACCTGTACACATTAGAACATAGTTATAGTAGCTATCAACTATAGTAAAACTAAAGATAAAATTGAAAATAAATTGAACACCTACAGACGTCTTAGTCTTCCTAATCTTTTGTTTTTTCATACTATTGGTGGCATCAACACTTCAATGTTATGAGGTGATTATTTCTGCAATTTTGATGGCTCCGCAACATGTGCACTATTTTTAGCATGTTAAAAGGTGTCATTATGTGGAGTAGCTTGCTCTTCAACTTCATGTTGCTAAGAATTGGCACCACTTGTAGGGTCATCTTCAACTTCCTCATGAGCAAAATGAGCTGGTATTATGCTTGACACATTTTTGGTACCTTTACAAGACTTTCTAGCACATTTAGGAGTTGGAGCAGATTGACTGCAGCCTTTATCTCCATTTTCTAGAAACTTTTGCATTACAATTGAACTCTTTATCCTTGAGGACTTCTCCAGTTGCTTTTTCTTCTGCAACTCATATCTTTCCTTAGCTGTTATATGATAACGGTATACTTCTATCAACTTGTACTCATAAACCCAACAATAGAATTGTCTAATGTCTTCATCGTTTGAAGTTCCATCAGTCCATGGTTCAAATCCCTACTAGGGTCAATGTAATAATATAACATGGTATCATTATGTCCATACTCTTCAACTATTTCATTTATTTCATGAATCGACATAAAATCAGTGTAGGAAAAATCGAAATAACCAATCTATCCACCCACATAATTCTTGTATTTGTCTCCCTTAATTTTATCACCATGGTGGAATTTAATGGAAAAACAGGTTTATTAGGAACCACAACAATTGCAAAGGCAAACAACACGATTCTTGTTAATCACTATTTTTTATTGTCATACACATTGTTCTTCCTATAAAAATACGTAACCTCCAATTGTTAATTAACCCGAATTGGACAACTGCCACAAAAGTTTGTTTGTTTATGAGTAAATTATCAGATAGAGGGTTCTTGTAGGTCCCTTTGCAACCTACTACTACAACAAAAGGGGATTTCACTTGTTCTTATGTCTTTATCCAAACAACCAGATCGCATTGGCAAACTCTAAA